GAACGCTTATTTTAGAAGGAGTTTTTTTTAATTATGAATGAATATTTTTCGTTTAACAGCATCGCGGGATCAAAAAAACGATTTAATCTTTCCATTTCGAAATGCTCTAAAGTAGGGATGCCCAAATCAGCACATATGTGTCGCGGGCGACTGCGCGTGTAAAGCTTTGCACAGCGGTGCTGGGCAAGCGCGGAAGCAAAAAGTTATCGGAAGGGGAAAACGGAGTCAACAGAATAGTGAGAATGTATGTGTGACAGTGATGGAAAATGAGTGTGCATTGTGCCATTTTCGGCCCTTTCGGAAGCAGCCGGCACCTTCAGCACAATCGATTGATTTTCGGCACTATTTTTGCGTAACTCAATGCAACTAACAAATATTTCTTTTGGATCCGCAATTAAAAATATTTTTTTTTACATTTGATCGTATGTGCTTAAACTGATAAATGATATAAACATAGAAACGCAAGCAGAAGAATCTCGCTTCCACATTCTGCATATGCGCTTAACATTTTTGTTTAAACAAATTTGTCGAAATTTCATCTCTAAAGCAAATATTAAATATCATTTAATATATACTTTAGATTTAAATAATCATTTTTAGTGGTGGGCGAGTCCGAGATGTTTAAATGATCGAGATAGTACATTCAATTCGCGTTGGTTTTGTGAGAACTTTTTTCGTTGAAGGTGTTGCACTTTTTTCCATACTGAAATGTATGTACATCATTTATCATTGTCTAAGAAAAACTGTAAAATAAAGCTTAATTTAAAATATTGGAATAAAAAACAACAACACTACACGCGCATTTATTCATATAACATAAAATGCGAACGTTCCGCGAACAGAAAAATTCAAAAAATCAATGGTATTTTCTAGACACTTCAAACTTGCACCTTATTATAATAGAATAAATGGGCTACAAAATTGTTAACCTAAAACATGTCTACAAATTCTGAACAAAAACTGTGAAAATTTGATGACACTTTGTTGATTTTTTTCATTCTTTCAAGTTTCTATTTATTTGCAAGGTTTTTGTTTGATAATGAGCTACAATTTTATAAAACCAAATAATTAAAATTATTTAAAAAAAATACAATAAATACCGGGTGACCGTGTAATTTTGTCAAAGATGAAGACAATGATGATAAAACATTATTACACTATATAGGTCAGTTCATATTAATGAACATAAAATGAGATCACTATCGATAAAATGGAAATCCTCAAGGGAAATTTATAATTTCAACGCATGGAATTTACATACTTTTTTTACTTTCAACCCCCGAATTGCTCAATTACTTCTATTTCTGCAGGATCGCCATTAGGTAAATTGCATTTCCAAAGATTTTTTCAAAATAAATAGCGATGAGGGATATTTCACCCGCCGGTGATAAGAAATCGCAATCACCATAACGCACATCACTAATATTACTGTTCACAATCACGTTTACATTCAAAATTACAATTCATAATTTCATTTTAAAGCAAATATGAAATATAGGTATATCCATTTACTTATATGTAAACGGATTAAGAATCAAAGTGCTAGAAGAGATTTGAGCGTTTGGTACAAAAAGTATTATTGATGTTGAAATTGTACTTAAAATCGGCAAATTGTACTTTTGTACATTTTAAAATTAATTGTACTGAAAAAAGTACAATTGTACTTAAAATATCAACAGTGTTTCACTGGCGCTGTACTTGCTGCAGCGATGCCAGATTTGAGCGTACCCAATTTTTTACCGATAATAACTCATGCGAGGGATTTGGGTATTGGGCATTTTCAAAGCCTATTAGGAAGTATACATAGCTGTGTTCGTATAGAATAGTAGCTTATGTCGGAAGACTGGCTTTAGTGCACAGAGCGAAAAGCACCTAATAAAATAGAACAAAAGTGAGCTGATATCTCTATGGACTTTTTTTAAGAAGAAGTTCTTCATAAGTTGGTAGAGAAAATCTTTTTAAAGTTTCGAAACAGATATCTTGGAAAAATAAAGGAGATTCTTATTGATATTTCCAAAGAGATATCACATATTATTGACAAGATTTGCTAAGAGAAATCACATATTATTGTGAAGATGTTCTTATTGATGTTTCCAAAGAGAAATAACATATTATTGTGAAGATGTTCTTATTGATGTTTCCAAAGAGAAATCACATATTATTGTGAAGATATTCTTTTTGATGTTTGCAAAGAGATGTCACATATTATTGTGAAGATATTCTTATTGATGTTTCCAAAGAGATATTACATATTATTGAGAATATGCTCTTATTAATATTTCCAACGAGATATCCTTCAAGTTTTAATGGGTTCCCTCTTTGATTTATTTAACACTATAACTCAATAAAAAGTCAACTTCGGTTTATTTATTTCATTTATTAACACATATTTTTTGTACTTAGTTTATAATTACAAACAAATTATTTTGTTATATAGTTGTCCACAAAATTATAGGAGTGCAATATTTTTACCTATTTTAATTATTTTTATTAACATATAAATCAAAATTTCAAACTTTTTATTCAGAAACTTTTTATTTAAAACAAATTTAAGTATGCATTTTATATCTCGTTAAATTTTTGTATAATACACTGCAAGTTTCAATAGGCTACAAAATACTAATTTCTTCCATACAATTTATGTTCTGAAATTTTTCTGCAAGAAAGAATATGCATGAAAGGGCCTACAAACAACAATCCAAAAAAGCAACGCGATTTTGTTGCCATTTGAAACTTGCATTTTATTGTACTAAAATTGTATGGGCTACAAAACTGAATACCCACTTATTTTAATTCTGAATAATAAGTTAAAAATTTTGGTGAAAATATTTTGATTTTTAGTAATTTTTGTATGGTTTAACATTAAACAAACAAAAAAAAAATATTCANTAATTCTGAATAATAAGTTAAAAATTTTGGTGAAAATATTTTGATTGTTAGTAATTTTTGTATGGTTTAACATTAAACAAACAAAAAAAAAATGGTCGAAACTGGTAAAAATTTCGCACTCCTATTATTTTGTGCACAAGTGTGAATATACTCAGTGCCAATATTTTTTTTGTCTTAATACTTTAAGTCCATTGTTGAGGTCATAAAAATGTGTAGGTGGTCCATCGNTTGATTGTTAGTAATTTTTGTATGGTTTAACATTAAACAAACAAAAAAAAAATGGTCGAAACTGGTAAAAATTTCGCACTCCTATTATTTTGTGCACAAGTGTGAATATACTCAGTGCCAATATTTTTTTTGTCTTAATACTTTAAGTCCATTGTTAAGGTCATAAAAATGTGTAGGTGGTCCATCGAACTGTTTACAGTGTATTATATTACATATATTGCTGGAATTACCTATTAAATACGATTGATAATTTTGGGAAAAACTTATGTAGTCCCATTTTTTAAGNAAATGGTCGAAACTGGTAAAAATTTCGCACTCCTATTATTTTGTGCACAAGTGTGAATATACTCAGTGCCAATATTTTTTTTGTCTTAATACTTTAAGTCCATTGTTAAGGTCATAAAAATGTGTAGGTGGTCCATCTAACTGTTTACAGTGTATTATATTACATATATTGCTGGAATTACCTATTAAATACGATTGATAATTTTGGGAAATACTTATGTAGTCCCATTTTTTAAGACAGATTTGTACAGCATTGTCTTTAATTAAAAAATTCATTATTTCATAAATATTTATATTGTCACTTTGGGAGACTGTGACTATATGACCAATATGAAAAGTAATGCCTTGAAAAATAGTTTCATTTGTTGTTTCATATAAGTTTAAATCAGGAACTAATGAAGATAAGTATGCACTATTTTCTGGTTTAATACCTTTAATACTTTTAAATGTATATTCTTGTTGAAAAAAATCATTTTTTAATATATAATTTGCGAACCTCAGTGAAGATTTTATAGCTAAAGTCAGTGAAATATTTGTTCTAGAGGTGATGTTTCTTGCATATTGCTTATGGAATTTATAAACTAAGTCGTTTGAATCTACTATATCGCCTATCATGAGAAGTATTAAATGAAAAAATGTTTTCATTTGCTTTGAGTTCATTTTGAATGAAGCGTTATTTACATGGTGTTTTTGAATAGGTGGGCTAATGTTTCCAATTTCAGTGTCACCGTACTGAAACATTTGTTTCCTGTAATTTAAAGTATCTAAGGAAAAAAACTTCTTCGTTTAAACGAAATGATATAAAATTTTAGAAAGATTGTATTTGCATACGCCAAGAAATACATCATGCATAATATCACATGCGATGTTATCCGTAACATGGAAGCTTGGCAAGGAATTAAAGATTGAAATATTTTTAATACTAGTGTGTGCAGGATTATCAAGCAAAACATCGCGATTATAATTATTTTTTACTCGTAAAAAACTAGGAAACTCGACAGAATCAGAGCGAGTCTGTTCTTTATCACTTTTGCATCTTCTGCAAAAATAATTTGCAGAAAACGAAGTAACATACCCCAATGCAGTATTTAGCCCCAGATTATCGCCTAAAATTTGTGCTAACTTGAAAAACACTCTGTAACTTATGCCATCTGCATTGATTTCTAGACCCTCAGTTTCAAGTTTTTTGAAAATATCTATAAATGGTGCGAGCGAAATATTAATTCCACAATCATGTACATCGCTACTTTTAATAAATCCTGCAACAAATATATTTGCTAGCCTACTAATTTGAAAATGTGGTATACTTGGAAAACTGTAGTATATTCCACAAACTTTGTGATGGCCTGATTTTGATCCCAAAGGATCATTTATTTCAAAATCGTCAAGGTACAGGAAATATGGCATAGTTACACAGTTTTCAGTATGTTTTAAATTTCGCCAAAAATCGCCATTATGGAAATGAGAATAACAATTGTCTTTTGAAAAGTGTGTCATATTTACTAGGGTTGCCCTTAAAACTCCTTCAATTTCGAAAAAACATTTTATTTGAAATGTTATGTCTGTTACTGCCATTTCTGATTTTGCTAAGNCAAGTTCTTTGGACATTTATTTAAGCCTTTAAAATTTACGACATATAACAATACGACACTTACGACACCGTTGTGAATCCCTCAATAATACTATATAATATAATACAATATAGTGTAACATAATATAATATAATATAGTAACAGATACTTACGAGATCATAACCACTGTAGTCATTATACCGTGGCCATTCCGTAAAAATGGCATTTAAGGAAGCGGTTTTCCTTATTTCTGCAACTCTAGTCTGCGATGTCTCTTTCCAATACATTACAACCTGCTCCCATGGACTGCAGCTGTTATGTAGCCAACACTTTCTTTCGCAATATTCATCTTAGTATTTTAAAAGTTAGTAAAGTATAGGATTTTAAAAATTGGTTACAATACATACCAGTGGAAATTAATACAATTGGCTCTAACTCCTCTGAAACAGTTTTTGATGTGAAACCAGCTTTATTTACATTTGTCCAGCGTGAAAATAATTTGCCTGTAGGGTTTTTCTTGTTGTGTTTCCGAGCTATATAGTATGTTTCCTAAATTTCAAAATATTTGTATAAGAATAAGATATGCAGTCTCCTTAAAAAAGATACCCATCATAATTATAGACACCCACATGTTTACAAGTTTTGAATATTTATTTTTCTTTTATTTAATTTATAATATTTTTTAATTAGAATATAGTTCATGAGCAAAAATTGTATATTGTTTTGTGTTAATGAACTATATTCTAATTGAAAAATATTAGAAATTAAATAAAAGAAAAATAGATATTCAAAACTTGTAAACATGTGGGTATCTACAACTAATTATGATAAGCATTATATTTATATTTATTATGTTTACCGGTTTTTCTTTCTGGTTGCAAGNTGCATCCAGATATCCATATTTTTCGTTGTATGTTAACACCATCTGTCCCTTTACTGTGCTTTTTAAAAGGTTGATAAGCCTAGTTTTGTTTATTGAGGAGACTGGTGGCAACTGAGCGGAGGGTGTAGATTCTCTAGAAACACTCAAGTTTGATGAAATTTTCTCCAGCCAATCTATAATTCGACTGTTATCCGATAACGTCTCCCTGTCGCAGAGAAGTGGCATTTTCTAAAAAAAAATTTAAATTAATACAAAAACGTAAAAGATAATGGCTAATGTAAAGGAGACCGACTGGAATCCAAGCAAATATTGGCATACAGGAAACGATAGCCCTTATTAAGAGTCCAGTTCAGAAAAATTTCTGGTATGCAGTTTTGTAACTCATAAAATTTTTGGTGCAATAAAGTGGAAGTTTCAAATGGCTACAAAATACCGTAGATTTTTAAATTTTTTTTAAGGTGCTGGGAATTTTCTTCCATATAAAAAATCTGTCGAGCAACAAAAAAAAATTGTCAAACATTGTAGCCATTTGAAACTTGGACTTTATTTACTAAAATTATATGGGCTACAAAACTGTATACCCGATAGTTTTCTAAAAATATTATGAGCTTATTCACTGTTGTCATTGCGATAGCACACAGCTTTGTTGACTTTTTTTAATTTGTATTCAACAATTTTATAATGAGCTCGAGGCCATTTTTTAAATGAAAATTTATTGTGGAAAAGCAACAATAATTTGAAAAAATGGTAGAAGTGATAGCTATTTCGGAAATCACCACATTTCCTCATCAGACTTCTTTCAGTAGGATTCGA